CTATTGATGGTTACACTCAAAGTTTGCAAATGATGCAAGACTGTATTTTTCATTCTTTACTGCTAACACAGTGTAATACGTAGTTTTGAGAAGATGTTTGCAAGTGCAATATGTCATTTCAGTTGAAAGAAGACTTAGGAATGATTTGACTGTGGTTTCTGGATCATGATTGTAGGTATATAATTTGATAATAAGTTCCTCAGACTTTAGCTATAACTACAACAGGGTGTGATGGTTGGAAGCTGAAGCTGGACAAGTAATATATTAATTTTTAAGAGCAGGGAAGTTAACTGCAGTTATGTTTAGAAGTTTTAGTAGGTTTCCCTTTATTTGGACTCTTGCATCAAGGTGAGCTGGGGGAGTGAATTCAGAAGGTTTAGAAAATAAGTGCTTGTTAACCCATGCCTATCGGACTTGAAGCAGGAATAGATTCTAGGAAACCTCATGCTCGTTCAACAGGCAGTCATTCTAGTGATCGTAGTAGTTTTCCAAGTACTAATATTTATAAATCTCTCTCCAAATATATAAACAGGTTTACATAGTTGCAGTTGAAAAGCAGAAAAATCAAAGTGATGCACACAATCACTGTTTAAAAGTTGCAAACTCTGCAGAAGAAAGCTACAGAGATGTAACATCTTCAGCCAGTGGACTTCTGGACTTAGTACAGGCAGATCTTGGAACACTAAGCAGGCTCTGGCTTGCTGCACTTCAGGATTTTGCTCTCTTGACTTTGCCTTCAGAATATGCATCACAACTACCTGCTGAAGGTAGGGCGGCAAATCGATTGTATTTTCATAGGTGACTTGTGAGTGCATGTCATTAATGTCCTAGCTGATTTGTGTTGAGATTGCAGTAAGATTAAATCGTATAGAGAATATGCATACTTGTGTACCTATCTAAAGAGAAAGGCTGCTTTTGAGAACAGAGGTTTCAATAATGTGAAAAGTAGTTTGTTTGGTATTGTTTTTTGTTTTGGTAATTTTTTGGTTGGGAGCAGAAAATGATGATTCTATTGGATTTTATCCCAATAAATCTAAATTAAGTGTCCTCATTAGCTTAATTTTAATATTGAACGTTTAAAAAAAGAAGTCATACATAAAATATGATAAATGTGATTTCAGTAAAAAGACAAATCCCTATTTACAAGAATGAGAAAATACGGTGGTTATATCCTTAAAACTGTAACTTCTCTTCATATAGGTGGTACATTTTATATAGCAGAGACAATTGAAAATGCCAGACCTCATTACTACAACTCCTGGGCACTGATACTGTATGCTACAGCATTATGGCTTACTAGCACAGGTTTCATTGTTGTTGATCCGGATGAAGGAGTTACTAACCTCTCTAGACCTGTCACCCCAACTACGATGTGTCAAGATTCTTCATCCAGGCCTTTGGTGAAATCTCCTGAGGATGTGAATACTGACAGATTTCATCTTATCTTGGGTTAGTGAGTGCATACTCTGTCTAGATGCTGTCACACAAAATGTCATTTTTTTATAGATAAAACTCTTAGCAAACAAATATGTAATTATTCACATTTAACTGCATCGTTGAATATTGCATCCCTTAGAAAAATATAGTCAGAAAGATTTTAAGTCCTAGTGAGAAAATTGTAGAATGTTTTCCTAAATGTGGTAGAAAAAATGCTCAGTATGAGCTAAACAAGTTCTAAACAAGTGCTTACTGCTGTGCTTATAAACATGCAAGTTCAAGGGTGGATTTTGTCACAGTTGTAGCACTACAGTTACAGACTGTGCAGTTTAGCATCACTGAAGTACAGTTTACATCACGGAATAGTGTGTAGGTTGGAAGGGATTTCTGGAAGTCATCTTGCCCACCACCCCCTGCTCAAGCAGGACCACCTAAAGCCAGTTGCCCAGGACTATGTCCAGGCAGCTTTTGAATATCTCCATGGACAGAGACTCTACAACCTCTCTGGGCAACCTGTGCCAGTGCTCGGTCACCCTCACAGTAAAAAAAGTGTTTCTGTAAGATCACATAAAGCTCTGTTTAAGCCTCTGTTACTGCAGAGGCTAATCAGGCAGTATAATTCAGTCCCAGTTCTCTAAATGTACGCAATTTGGCATTTCTGATTGTATTTTTTTTCTTTGGTCTCTCTTTTGTATCCTTCTTTTGTAACCCCTTTTTGGAATGGGTTTGTATGGCCCAGATGCCTATAGCTCATTTCGAATCCCAGTCTTCCAGCACAGAGCCAGCTTCCTTTTGAACTCCATTGCTCCCTCAGTTAAAAGTGGGACCTCTGATACAAAAGCTGCTCATTTCCCTTGCTTCCTATACTACTGGATTAGTGCTTCAAATTTCATATACTTTACCGTGAACACCTGGCTTGTTTATTCTGCTTCTGAACATAGTCCACTTGTTCATTTTCACTTCCTACAGAGAAACTGAAAGAACTTTAAAACACACAACACTTTCTGTTGCAGAGCTGTTCTTTAGTGTACATTGATCAGTTTCCCAATCATCACACATTTTGGAATGACAGCTGTACAACTGGGATGACGATATGGATCACAGTTTATATGAAGTTTATCTCCAATGTCAACTGAAGAGTCCTGACAACTCAGAAAAAAGGGATTTTTTTTTTTTGATTTTTTTTTTTTTAGTCTGCTCTAGGATTTGCAAGCTTAGGCTTCTTGTAATTTACTTACTGCTGGTGATCCAATTGTGGTAGCTGCACAATTGGATCTCAACATTTTTGTAAAATGGGAAGATAAAGCCTCAGCCTCTGAGTTTCTGAACTATCACTACTTTCTCCGTTATTTTCTTCTATTACATAAATCGGTGTGATTAGGCAAATATTCTGCTATAGACTCAGTATGAATTGTCTGCCTATTCCTTGGACCTGGAGTTCAGTGTTTTACTCAGAAATTGCTCTGTTTTTAAAATTTATGTTAATAGCCAGTTATAATCATGTCTTGCACTGTCTAGAAGTTGAAGTTCTTTCATTGTTTTGAGGGAAATAGAGTACTTGCCCCAAGATATTAACAATAGGAGGTGAATTTACTTAATATAAAATACAAATGCTATTTCAGTGTCTGATCAACCTACTGCTAGGTTACTTAGTAATTGACAATACTTCTTAAAATTTCAGGCATATATGTTTTTTTTCTTCTGGTGCTTACAGGAATTAGTGTGGAATTTCTCTGCTCTCCTCGATCAAATGCAGCAATGGAGAACATTATTGCCTGCTTACGTGCCCTACAGACACTCTTCAATGTTCCGTGGCCGAGGTCTAAAATAGGTGGTGATCAGGTAATGTCTTAATGGTCAAAAGCACCCCAGAATTAAGGCATAATTTTAGTTTGAACAATATCTCTACTCTCTATTGTATATCCAGGAATCTTCAACACATAAGTAGTAGGTGAATTATATGCTTTACCAAAATCCAAAGCTGTAGAGGGAGGAGAGAAAAAGAGTACAACATGGAACCTGTAAGAAGACAGTGAGGGGCAGAGAACTTGAGGACATTTCATCAGGAAGAAGTAATTAGATGAGTAGGATGAGAGCCAGGTAAAGACAGAATTCCAGGAAAAAAAAAAAAGTTCTCTTACTCTCTCTGTCAAGGGACAGTTCAATTAATTTTGTTGTTGTAAATATTGAAGATGGTAAAAGGAAACTGTACAAAAGCAGTGGTATTAAAAAAAAAAAAAAAAAAAAAAGGCAAAACCAAAATAAGCACAACACACCAGTGATCCTAAAAGGAAGTAGTAACTTCAAAATTCCTTTTGATTTCTTTAAATTAAGCTTTATACCATGCAGTTGTCTAATACAGCAAAACTGATAAAGCCTGTGGACAAGCCCAAGTTCTGCTGACTGTTGGTGCTCTCTCCAAGGAAATGCATATACTGCAGGAGGGATGCAATGTAGTATCCCCACCTTCAAGAGTTAGAAAGCCATAAGATAAAGGTTAATTGGGTTCTTTTTAGTAGTTTTAAGTGCCTTGTCTCTAAATTACTGTGATCACTGTTTTGTTGGGAGAATTGAGCAGGACTGCTGCTACTGGGAGCTAGGAGCTAGATGCTGAAGAAAATGCCAGCTCCTGTGATTGCATCAATTATTCTGTGTTCCTTAGTGAGATTAATAAGAGTAATACTGTTGGCTTTAACAAGTTTTTAGATTTCCTGCTTTAAAATGGGGGGTATATTAAGCATTTTTCTTGCTGTAGGAGTTGGGTGTAGAGCTGCTGAATGTTTTGCATCGACTGATACTCACCAGAGAGTCACCTGATATTCAGCTTGCTGCTCTTGAAGTGGTCCGGCTGATTCTTTTTGCAGCTCAGGAACATGTGAAGGAAAAGCGGAGAAGTGCAGAAGGTACAGTAATGTATGAGATGTTGAATATGTATTATCTGGGTTAAAGCAATTCTTTCTTGGAAAACTGGATTCTTGAAGGTGATATTCCAAGATGCATCTTAATTGAAGTGTTTCATAGTTGGTGAGTAATCCTGGTTTACTTAAGTCAGTGCAGGTGCCTGACGTGAGAAATTGGGGTGATATGATCGATGGCAGGTGGTTTTGGTGGTGACTAGAGGGCATGAAGTGGGAGGGAAAACTGGAGAAACTACAGTTGGGATAGTCTTGTGTGGTGTCAGGGAGGGAGAAGTCTTAGTGAAAATCTGGGGTCAGCTGCAGTAAAGCAACAGAAAGACTCAGCACCACAGAGCTGTTACAAGCCAGACTCCACTAGTTACTCTTGATCATGATTTCCTAACATTCATTTCCTAAAAGAAAAAAAAACTGGGAGAAGAATCAAAACACTTACATGAGGTGACGTCCTGCCTTAGCATGTTGTATGTCTAAATCCATTGCACGCACTTTTGCCTTTTGACAATCAGTGCATAGTTTGCTTATTCAGAAGGATGGATGTTTGCCAGTAGAGCTTTGAATACATATGCGTGCACATATGTATGCATCAAGATTATCACTTGGTGATGAAACAGTCTTAAGAAGTAAACTTTTTGGAAACAAGGTACAGCCTGCAGGTTTCTGCCATATTTCTTCTTGTTGTTTTAGTTGATGATGGTGCTGCAGAAAAGGAAACATTACCAGAATTTGGAGAAGGCAAAGATACGGGAGGACTGGTGCCTGGGAAATCATTAGTCTTCGCAACACTGGAGTTGTGTGTTTGTATTCTTGTCAGACAGCTTCCCCAGCTCAACCCTAAATTAACTTGCAGCCCTGCAGTTCAGTCTGGAAAACATCTGTTATTGTCAGAAGATGGAAGTAGACTGGTAGCAGCAGCGTTAGTTATTCTCTCTGATGTTCCTGCAATCTGCTCACCTGAAGGTATGCTGTTTCATCACAAGAAAAGATTAATGAAAGAATATTGGGCTCTTCAGAGCCCCCTTGTTATTACCTAATTTTCTCAGCTGGATAAATCTGGCAGCAAGTTTTGTTGATTTGCTTGTGACAATTTCCTGTTCTAATTATTTTTTTGACTGTCAGGTTACAAAACAAGTTACAAAACTGAAGCAATTAAAGAAGTAGTTTTTCTTTTCCTCCCGCATGTAGCAGTGCAATTAATAGATTCGTTTTGTACAGGGAAGTATATGATTAGCTACATGGTTATATTCTACTTGAATTGTCTGTTCTGGAATTTATAATGCAGACACAAATTAAATTTAAAAGGGAAATGTATCACCACGTTACCTTTCACTAAAAGCCATCATTTGAACGTTGGGAAACCACTGTAGGGAGTTACCATTGATTTCTCAGATTAGTTGACTTTTACCCATGATTCATTTTGGATTCACTCCAAATTTTAAGATGATTCCCCCCGCCATCCCCCAATATCACATTCTTTCAGTACTGTTACAGCCACACTTCTAAACCATTTCTGCCATACTTCTCTGTTCCTGCCTTAGGTATCTGTGTTACACCCTGGGCACATTTTTGCATTTATCATCCCTGGAAATTTCTTCTTTTTTCTTAATTTGTTCTCTGCCATGAGATTCCTCTTTGGGGGATAGCATACTCCAAATACTCTTGCTATCATTGTAGGGTGATGATATGACTTCTCTTTTCTGTCTGCAGCTTGTTATTTTTCAGTTCAAAGCAAAAGAAAACAAACATAGCATCACTTAGATCTGAGGGCAACTCTCTTGTGTGAAAAATAATCTGTGGTTTTTCTTTTTCCCCTGTAGTTCTTTTTGTCTTTAACTGTTCAAGTTATTCCACAAACTAACAGCTTGCAGGATCAGACCAGAGAAGATTTTCACACTACATTGAAGTCAGGTGACTAAAATGAGAAGCTTAAGCTTGCTTATACAGCCAGTTGAATGAGGAAGCATCTCCAAACATCAGCTCATATAATCAAAGAGAAGAGAATTCCTATATGGAATTGGATCTTTTTTTCCCCTTTAATAGGTAACTGTAGTTACAGTCCTGTGACTACCATGCCTCTTACTTCAGGCACCTGTCACAATATATGTGCATAATAAAATTTTCAAATAAATGGTGCTCATGAACTGCATTTCCTACTGAATTCCAGCAGTCAATTTTCAGAGACTTGTCTGTTTAAAAACAGAAAGTAGATGTCCTTATGTTCAGAAAATACTTATGTGTATGTCAGACACCCTCAGTGTTCAACAGGTGTGTCACAAACATCAGTATATTAAAATCTTAAAAACATAAGCGTTTTGCTGATTAGGGAAGGACATAAGCATATTAAGCCATATGCTTAACTCTGCTTTGCTGAACCAGAACTTAAGGTAGAAACAACACGTAAGTATGTGGGTGTCTAGATTGTCTCCAATATGTGCAGAATTCTGTGTTACTATTAGATTCAAAGACATAAGAATATGCAAAACTGCTATGACAAGTTTTTCCTGTGTGGGTTGGTTTTTTTTTTTTTAATGGCTTCTTATTCTGACAGATCAACTGTCAGATTCTCAGGGAGAGATGAACATCTGTCCAGTAGGCTGTTGAACAATGTACTTCTTTCCTTAGGTCTCCTCTTCTCCAAAATATTTGTTGGAGTTTTTTATTATAATTCTAGGAGGTTTTGTTGCACATTTTTAGTCTGGGATCCTTTTCTTATTAATCTTACTAAATTCTTGACTTTAGTGATTTCCTGGAGCAATGACATCCTTAGCTAACTACACATCATGTGGGACAAGTATTTCCTCTTGCAAGTTTTGAAATTACCCCTGTTAATTTCCTTCACTGTGGTGTCTTCACTGCAAAATATGCTTAGGTGCTCATAATTTTTCTACTATTCAGTACTTTGTATATTTCCATAGCTTCTCTTCTTCTGCTCACCAGTGGTTCTGATCTTTCTGTTCTCACTTTTCTCTGAACGTGACATAATTCCACACTTCATATAATAAAATCATCAGGGAAGATACACAGTGCTAATTTAAAAGGGGAAAAAGTTTAACTTCACTTAAGCAGTCTGACTCTGTGTTTGCTGTAGCACGTCATGTGATATCTTTCTTCGAATTACCCGTGCCTCCATTCACTTAAGTGATTAAAAATGATAAATTATAAATAAAAAAGAGAATTGAAGAAAACTGCTTCCTTTTTTTTTTTAATGTAAAAGATACCTGAATATTTTTAACTTCTGTAAAATTAATTTGCTTTGTTTTACAGGAAGTGTTTCAGTTCTTCCTACAATCTTGTACCTAATTACTGGAGTACTTAAAGAAACTGCTGTGAAGTTTCAAGACGGCCAGTTACCTTTGACGGTTGCTGCATCGCTACAAGCTCTTAAAGGACTCTTGTCTTCTCCAATGGCTCGAGCAGAGAAGAGTCAGACTGCTTGGACTGATCTTCTGCGTAGTGCTTTGGTCACAGTGCTTGACTGTTGGGATCAAGGTAAGCACAAATTTTGGGTTTGTGTGTTTAAAAAACAAAACAAAAAAAGTTTGGGTGAAAGGTTGTTTATTTTTGTTTAATCTAAATTTATGCACATCTTAAAAAAAAAAAAAAAAAAAAAAAAGACTAATATCTTAGTCCCAGGAGAATTAGTTGGCTACCAAGTACTGTTGAAACTATAGTGCAATCTTGTCCCTACAGTTCACATAAGTCGCCATCTGTGAAGGTATAAAGGTGGGATCGTGGGCTTACCCCTGTGTTACGTAGTCCTGCGGTGTAGTTAGGTGGTACCAGGGAGGAAACAGGAGTTACGTCCAGTTGAGGGGAAAAGACAGCTGTACTGCATGCAGGTTCTCCACAAAGAATTAGTGTCTGTTTTGAAGCAAAGAGTGTTAAAGCAGTAGTTCAAGAAAAAATACTTTTATTTTAAAGTTAGTTTTCTGTGTGCTGCTTCTTCGAACTTCCCAAGTTTATAGTATTTTTCTCATTCCTGATGTTTGATCTCTAAGCTGTAACTTGTTGTTGGAACTTTTGTTTATAGTGCTGGTTTTTTAAGTTATAGCAAAAAAAAATGTGTTCTTAATGTAGATTTTTTTATTATTCTCAGAATAGATTGTGCCTTAACATGTCATACCAGCTCTTCTGTTCCTCTGTATAAAGCTCTATTGTGCTTTATACAGAGGAACAATGGAATAGGATTATGCTGTTATTTCTAAATAAACATATAACCACTCCTGAATTCCCATTTTGGCCTTGGCTTTTATTACAGTAAGAGCCCATATCAGTGCAGCAGAGTACGTCACTTATTTGAAAAAAGAGAGTCCTAAACGAGCGTAGACATCTCTTCCACCTCCTTGTAACACTTGAATTCGTAGAAGTACTTTTTAATGCAAATCTAACACACTGCTTTTTTTGATAGTAGATGGCCTTCTCCAAGAACTTGATGAAGTTAGCCTGCTTACTGCTATTACAGTGTTCGTTGTGTCTACCAGTCCAGAAGTTACTGCCATAGAGTGCCTTCAAAAGCGTTGTATTGAGAAGTTTAAAATAACACTTGACTCAAAAGATCCTCTTGTAAGTACTGGTGAAGTTACAAGACTATCGGTATCATATGAAATGGATTTTAGCTTGTCCTGTGTGTTGATTCCAGACAATTCTGTCCTGACTATATCTGTTGTATTTTAAAACACAGTTTGAACAAGTTAGCAAGAACATGTCCAGCAGTGCATTTTATCATTCTTTATTCTGTATACAATTCTGTATTCCTATGATTTATTTTTTTATTGCATCAAACTCAGAGGTTTGTGCATTGATAAGTACATGATACGATTGTGTAGTTTTTCAGGCACCCATTTAATTTTGTTTGTTCATTTTATCCTCCACACACAGATACTATTTTTTGCACAGGAAATCCCTCAGCTGTGGGTCTTGGGAAGCAGGAGCAAGTACCACCACATAACTTCTACCATCCCATAAGCATCAGCTCCTGGCCACTGCTGGAGGCAGCCTATTAAACTAGATTAATGCTTTGTTCCACCTAGTATAAATATTTTTACGTAACTGCTTTAGACTGTAGTGCCACAGTTCATCTGTTACTGTTCTTCATCTTAAAAACCAACATATCGGGGGAAAAAAAAAAGGCATTTCAAATACAAATGGCTTTTGTAGGAGTTGGGACATCCTCACTCTGGAAGTCCAGCTCTGAAAATAACACGCATTAGGTTTTATGTTTGACTGTGAGAATTCACTGCAAACTAGTTTTCTTGCATCTTCTCTGTATATATTCATGTAGTAACAAAAAATCAAACAAAGTTACCTTTACTTGAGAAAGAGCTGTAAGAAAGTACTTTTTTATATATGAATACATTTCTAGTATTACAAACACTGGTTTCCACTGATAGGAAACTGGGGATGCCAAATACAACTGCGAGAAAATGGTAGTATGCGTTTGCAAGCTTTACCCAAGTGTTCAGGCATCTGAGCTTTCAGAAAATACGCAGGAACTTGACAGCTTCAGTCCTGTTGACTTCCAATGACATGCAGCTACGGCACCATTTGAGGCTTTTTAAAATTCTGCCTGCAGCTTGACAGGGGTGATGTTTCCATTTTTAGCACCTATTTTCAGTCTGCTGTATTTTTGCAAAAGAGTGGGTATTTTCAGAACAGTACTAAGACACAATCTTCACACAAAGATAATATTTTTTCCTTAACTCAAAAATGTAGGAAGATGTAGGACTCGGTGGAAAGAAATGGGAAGCGTGATCTAGTTTGTCTTAATAGTTTGATTGCAAGTTAATGCTTCTATACAGTATTATGTACTAGCAGCCTGCAACCTGACGAATTTTCAAGCTGTGAGGCACATTTTTCCCCCTCCCTAAAATTTTATCTAGCAAACTGTGAGTTTTAAAACACTGACCTGTATTTTTAAGTGTAACACTTAGTAACTGCAAATTTGGTTTTCCCTTCAGGTGCAGTATAAGTGCTACCAGCTGCTGCACTCCATCTTTCAGCATCCAAACAAAACTGTGTCGTATCCTTATATTCATTCTTTAGCACCATCCATTGTGGGAAAACTGCAGGAAACAGAGAAAGCAAAACCTGAAAATGCTGCTGAACTTCAAGTCATTCAGGAGGGAATAAAGGTGGTTGCAGCTCTTACAGCCGCTGCTGAGGAAGAGCACCGTAAGTTACTAGTTCCATTACCAGTATCCAAAGCATCAGACATGCTGGAAGTTGCCCTAAGTAACAAACAAAAACAAAACGAGCACTAGGAACCCAGTCCTGAGCACTAATTGCTAACAAACAAGAATGTTGTTCTTTTTGCCATACAGTTCAAATAACGGTTGCAGCTTTCCAGTTTGTGTTAAATGTTAGCTTAGAGAAAGACTTCTAGTTAGAATCTGAAGCTGGTTTTAAAAAGTGTGTGTTGAAGTTGTGTTTTCAATGTTTATAGGTGCTCATTTGGTGGCCTGCCTCCTTCCCATCCTTATTTCCTTTCTTTTGGATGAAAATGCCCTGGTTTCTGCAACAAACTCGGCAAAAAACCTACATGAGTTTGCGTTGCAAAATCTGATGCAGATTGGTCCGCAGTACTCGGCAGTTTTTAAAAAACTGATGGCTTCCTCTCCAACTATGAAAGCCAGGCTTGAGTCAGCTGTAAAAGGCAATCAGGAAAGCATCAAAGTGAAGACTGCTAAACATGCGAAGGCTCCTGGGAAAAGTTCAAGCATTCAGCTAAAGACCAATTTTCTTTAAAGTCTCATATTGTCATTTTATGCACTTTTGATATCAACGGCAAAAAATGTCCCTTTTAATTTCTTATCGGAGTAGGGTCACTGTGAGTTGATCTCGTATTTCAGTTTGCACTGAAGTGTTGCAGAAAGTTTTTTTAAGAGAAAGCAGATCTCTAGATAACTTTCTGTTAGTGTAAGACTTCTTAAACATCTCTAAACACTGTGAATAAATCTATCAGAGGTCATCAAGTCTGTATTTTTGGATTATTTTGGACTAAAATACCAGAAATGTGCATGCCTGTATTAAAAAAGTATAGTGACCTTTACCATAGATATATTTAGGAGCAGCCCACACATAGCCATTAAGTAAAATAAATTTTGTTTTAAATCAACATTTCTCAAAAATAAGTTACCCTGATTGGATTTTGGATTTAACTGGGACATAAATTTACTTGCAGGTTGTAACCTGTCCCAAGTACTAATTTAACATGCTGCATCAGTAAGTAAACAGATTAAATATCTTTATAAGCCTTACAGTAGATTATTGTTGATCTCAGAAAAATTCAACTCAATAAAGGTAATATTGATAGCTTTAATCCTAATAACTCGTTGAGCTGGCCGAGATCGAGCAAAGGCTGTGAAATGCAGCTCTACCCTGCCGCTTCACCGGGGGCTCCGTAGCGCTGCACACAGTGGGACTGTTACGCGTACGTCCGTATTCGCAGGCTTGGTGCCTCGCTGCTTGCCATAGTCACACTTTTCGGGATGCATCTTGTGTTAGTTTTGTACTAAGCTAGCCAGGCAGGGGCAGCTCACATATCTCATCCAGGATAGGACAGCAATTGCAGCGTACTGTGCCTCGATTCAGACATCTGCTCCACTTGGGTGTGTGTTTCCCGATCTTTAAATGATCGGTTATATATACGTGTAACTCACCTCAACTTACTTGTCTCCGCAATGAGAGATGGACATATTTGAAGTCAGCTTGTCTTGTGTCAAATAAAGTGCAACAAACTCGTAATAAGGAGTATTTAATTAACATTTTTATCAAGGAGCATATTTTAATATAGAAAAATAACTATGAAAATTGCAATGGCTATAGAGTATTTTCTACATATAGTGTATGGACTTCTTAATACCAGTATTATCTAAACCAAACACTATCAAACTGAGGATAATATTTCCTTCTTAAATCTAATTACTTTAAAAGAAAGAAGAGGAAAAAAAAAAAAGATTTACAGAACTGAGAAACTCACTGTGACTCAGGAAAAGTATGATGTACTGTATTTTATTATAAGTTTTGTATATAAATATAATTGTAAATTGTACAGAATTAACCATTTGACCAAAGTTCTAACAATTCATTTTTCTGATTTACATAAATAAAGCTAATTTTCTTCACTTAAGATTCGTCTTAGTCATTTCACCCAACAGCAGAGCAGCTCTCAGGACTTCCATAACAGACAGAAAAGGTTTGTGGGCTGCCACAAGGAAGCTAATCAGAGACGTTTGGGCTGGGTGCGCCAAGGCCTGTGACTCGGCACTGCAGGTCTTCCTCTGTTCCTGTGTAGCACAGTGGGTAGTTCGGCAGGAGCAGGGAGATGGACTTTATAGGTGTAAATACCTGTCCTGTGCCGAGCGCAGAAATGTGTGAGCTACGGGAAGGTGGTTGAGGTGCCTTCCATCTTTCCCCGGAGAGCCACGAGTTCTTTGTTCCACCTCTTCATTGCAGTCAAATCTGCAGTTGTTGGCTGTGTTGAAGAGGAGCTACGTTAAACTTGGCAGTTACTCATCTTTATCTCATTAGTATTTTTTTGTCTCGTTTTCCCCTTTACTGGGGACTTTTTTAAAAAATTACTTATTTTCAAGGCCGCTTCTGGAAAATCCTAGAGATTCTTACGGGACTTCAGTCTTTTAAATGAAACTCATGTCATGTTTACTATCAAAGTGGCCAAAAACATTGCTGAGCAAGTTAGTTGCCACGATAGGTATATGTGGCTACTTTTTTCATTTTCTGTAATGTGTAAGAACAGCATTAACCCTTTTTTTCACTAACTTTTTTTTATGTTGATAATACATCTGATTAAATCCTACTTCGCTCAACAACTTCTAAGGAGCACGCTCAAGTTGGAAGAGTACCAAGCAAAGGTGTTAAAAGCCAGAAATTAAAGTTTAGGAGAGCTTAGTCCTAAGTTTCTTAGAGGGTGTCACCGTAGTAGCTCACAACTGAGTCACCGAGAAGTGCCGTAATCGTGTGATTCGGCTTTTCCTGGTCAAGACCTGTAGCTGCGTGTGGAAAAGCACCATTTCCAACATACCTGTGTATTCTAAATGCAGAAGCAGG